AAGTAAAAATTGAAAAGTGTAAAAGCTGCCGAATGGAAAAATTGAAAAATTCGAGATGTTGAAAAATCACGGAAAAATCGAACAGTAAAAAAATAGAAATCTAAAAACTGTAGAATGGAAAAATTGAAAAACCGAGTTTTAAAAATGAAAACTCAAAATCGATTTTTTTTTTAAACTGAGTAAACGAAAGATGGAAAACCGAAAACTCGAAAAAACGAAAATCTGAAAAACAAATTCGAGAAATCAAAAATTCGAATAATTGAAAAATCGAAAAGCCGAACATTCGATTAATCAAATTTTTAAAAAATTGAAAATCGAAAATATGAAAAATCAAAAGCAAAAATTTGATAAGTCAAATAAGTACTCAAAAAACCGAAAATTCGAAAAATCGAGTCATTAAACCGAAAATTCAAAAAATCCGAGTTGTCAAAAATTGAAAATTCGAAAAATCGAAAATCCGCGAATTGAAAAAAGACACATCGAAAATTCGAATATCGGAAAATTGGAAAGTCGAATAATTCAAAAACCGAGTAATCGGAATTCGAAAATTCGAACATCGAAATTAGAAAACCGAAAAATCGGAAAGTAAAAAAACTGAAAATTGGAAAAATTTGAGTAGTCGAAAATTAAAAATTCGAAACTTCGATGAATATAATACTCCAAAAATCGGCAAACTGAAAACTGAAATATCGAAAATCAAAAAATATAATTCTCGAAAAATCGAAAAATCTAAAATTCGAAAATTCGAGATGTTCAAAAATCGTAAACAAAAATCAAAAAGTAAACATTGAAAAGTCTAAAAGCTGCCGAATGGAAAAATAGAAAAATCGTAAAACTCGAAAATCGGGATTTTGAAAAATTGAGAAAATGAAGAAACGGAAATTCGAGAAATTGAAAAAACGAAAATTCGAAAATAGAACATTCGATTAATCAAATATTAAAAAAAATCAACTTCGAAAATATGAAAAAGCAAAACTCGAAAATTCGATAAATCAAATATTCAAAAAATCGAAAATCAGCAAATTAAAAATCGATACATCGAATGGTCTAAAATTCGAGATGTCGGAAAATCGAAATTAGAAAAATTGATAATTCGAAAATGAACAATGGAAAATTTGAAACTCGAGATTTCGAACAACGGAAAATCTAAAAAGCCAAAATCCTCAACAAGTTTATTTGAAAAATCGAAAATTCGAATACTCGAAAATAATAAATCGAAACGTGAAAAAAATTAAGTTTAAAAAATGGAAGAATGAAAAATCGATAATGGAAAATTCGAAAACGAAAAACGAGAATCCAAAAAAAAAAGAAATTCAAAAAATCTGAAATTCGATGAATCATATTTAAAAATTCGAAAATCGGAAAATAAAAAATTGAAAATCGAAGAATTCTGATAGTTAATGAAAATTGGAAACATCGAAAATTCGATGCAACACATTCCAAAAAACGAAAATCGCAAAACTGAAAACTGAAATATCGAAAACTCTAGAAATCGAAAATCGGAAGATCTATAACTGAAAAATTCGAGATGTTGAAAAATCACAGGGAAAAATCGAAAAAAAAAATAGAAGTCTAAAAACTGTAGAATGAAAAAATTGAAAATCCGAAAGTTCAAAAAATGAAAACTCAGAAATTACCGAATCGATGTTTTTAAAAATTGAGTAAACGAAAGATGGAAAACCGAAAAATCGAAAAGCCAAACATTCGATTAATCAAATACTACTGAAAAAATTGAAAATCAAAAATTCGAAAGTCGAAAAATCCAAAAATCGAGTAATCGCAATTTGAACGTCGATAGTAGAAAACCTAAAATCGGAAAATAATAAACTGAAAATTCCAAAAATTCGAGTCGGGAATAAAATATTCGAAAATTCGATAAATAAAATAGTCCAAAAATCGAAAATCCGCAAACTTACAACTGAAATATCGAAAATCAAAAAATGGAAAACTCGAAAAATCTAAAATTCGAAAATCCGAGATGTTGAAAAATCGTAAAACTCGAAAATCGGGATTTTGAAAAATTGACAAAATGAAGCAACGGATATTCGAAAAACTGAAAAAGCAAAAATTCGAAAATAAAACATTCGATAAATCAAATTCCGAATTGTCGAAAATAAAAAATTTGAAAAATCGTAAATCGGCCAATTGAAAAATGAAATATCAAAAAACCGAAAACTCCAGAAATCGAAAATCCAAAGATGCAAAATTAGAAAATTCGAAATATAAAAAATCGAGAAATCGGGAGGCAAAACAATTGAAAATTCGAATATCAAAAAATTGAAAAATTCGATTAGTCGAAAACTGAACAATCAAAAATTGGCAAAGTGAAAATTTAAAGATTAAAAAGATCGAACACTCGAGAAATCGAAAGATCTAAAATTCGAAAATTCGAGATGTTGAAAAATCGAAAAAAAGGAAATTCTAAAATCGGGGAGATGAAAAAACGAAAATTAAAAAAAATGAAAATTCGAAAAATTGATGATTAATATTTTTTAACCGAAAATGGGCAAACTGAAAACTGAAATATCAAAAAATCGAAACCTACAGAAATCGAAAATCGAGAGATCGAAAATTCGAGATGTTGAAAAATCGCAGAGAAAAACCGAAAACTAAAAATTGAAACATCTAAAAGCTGTAGAATGGAAAAATTGGAAACTCGTAAACAGCGATTTTCAAAAATTGAGAAACCGAAGAATCGAAAAACCGAAAATCGAAAATCTAAAAAATAAAATTCAAAAAAATTGGAAAATGAAAGATGAGAAACTCGTAAACAGCGATTTTCAAAAATTGAGAAACTGAAGAATCGAAAAACCGAAAATCGAAAATCTGAAAAATAAAATTCAAAAAACTAAAAATCGGAAAGCCGAAAACTGGAAAAATAGAAAGTTGAAAAACAAAAAATTCCGAAAATCAGAAATAAAAAATCCAAATTGTCGAAAACTCAAAATTCGATGATCGGTGCATCAAAAAATCGAAAAATGGAAAGATCGAAAATTTGAGATGTTGAAAATTCGGAAAGAACGAAAATTCGAAATTCAAAAAATTGAAAAATCGAAAAGCCGAAAATACCAAAATAGTTCAAAATAAAAAATTCAATTATTCATTATATATCAAAAAATTGAATTTGGACAATTTGAAAAATCAAAATTCGAAAATTCGATAAATCAAATACTCGAGAAATCAATAAACGGAGAATTCGGTAATTGGAAAGTTAAAGAATTCCGAATTGCTGAAAACTGAAAATTTGAAAAATCGAAAATCGCCGAATTAAAAAATAAAACACCAAAAATCGAAAATCGAAAGATTTAAAATTAGAAAATTCGAGATGTTGAAAAATCGAAGAAAACGGAAATTCGAAAATCGAACAACTGAAAATTCGATGAATCAAATATTAAAAACATCAAAATCAAAAATTCGAACTATCGAAAATCAAACATCCATAAATCGAAAGTAGAAAACCTAAAAATCGAAAAGTAAAAAAACTGAAAATTCGATGAATGTAAAATTCCAAAATCGCCAATCGGCAACTGAAAACTGAAATATCGAAAAATCAAAAAATGGAAATCTCGTGAAATTGAGAAAAATCAAAAAGTAAAAATTGAAAAGTCTAAAAGCTGTCGAATGGAAAAATTGAAAAATCGAGACGGTGAAAAATCGTGAACTCGAAAATCGGGATTTTGAAAAATTGACGAACAAACGGAAATTCGAAAATTGAAAAAACGAAAGCCGAAAAAAATTAAGAGTCAAAAGTTGAAAAGTCAAAAATTCGATAAATCAAATGTTCGAAAAATCGAAAAACGGGAAATTCGGTAATCGGAAAGTCAAAGAATTCCGAATTGTCAAAAATTGAAAATCTGAAAAATCGAAAAATCGAAAACTGGAGAAATCGAAAATCCAAAGATGTAAAATTAGAAAATTCGGGATATTGAAAAATCGCACAAACGGAAATTCGAAAATCGAAAATTGGAAAATTTGTGAATCAAATAGTCAAAAAACCTAAATATAAAAAATCGAAAACAGAAAAATCGAAAATCGGCAAATTGAAAATTTATACATTAAAAATTCGAACACTCCAGAAATCGAAAGACCTAAAATTGGAAAATTCGAGATGTTGAAAAATCGCAGAGAAAAATTGAAAACCGAAATTCGGAAAGTCGAAAATCTTAAAAACAAATTTAAAAAAATTGAAAAATCAATTATTCAAATATTAAAAAAATTTAAATTTGAAAAATCGAAAATTCGGTAAATCAAATACACGGAAAACTGAAAAATGGAAAAATCGAATGTCGGAAAATTAATAATTAAAAATCGAAATATCGGACGTCGAACAACAAAAAATTCGGAAAATCGGAAAGTCAAAAAATTGTCGAAAACTAGAAATTCGAAAAATCAAAAGCCCCGAAAATACGGAAAGTCAAAAAATCCAAATTCTCGAAAACTTAAAATTCGATTATTCGAAAATCGGTTCATCAAAAAATCAAGAAATAAAATTATCGAAAATTTGAGACGTTGAAAAATCGGGAAAAATGAAATTTCGAAAAATTTAAAAATCGAAAAGCCGAAAATACCAAAATAGTTCAAAATAAAAAAAATCAATATTCAAAAAATTGAAATTTGAGAAATCGAAAATTCGGTAAATCAAATACACGAAAAACCGAAAGTTCAGAAAGTCAAAAAATTCGAATTTTCAAAAACTGAAAATTCGAAAAATCGAAAATCACCGACTTGGAAAATGAAACATCACAATTCGAAAATCGCAAATTAGAAATATAGAAAGCCGGAAAATACAAAAATCGAAATTTCAGTGATATAAAGACTAGTTATAAACATCGCATCTGGAATGTGAGAAGATTGAAAGACAAAATAGGGCCTAATCGAGGAAATGAGAAAAGGGAAATAGAAAACATGAGGATAACAACTACTAGATAATGTGCAACAGACTACAGAAGAAAAAGAACACAGCAGCTGGAATAATTTTTAATAAAAAATAAAAACAGCAATACGTATCATATCAATATGTTGTATACATGAAAATACATTGGGAAAAAGTAGTATTCAAAACGTACCTACATATTTAATCTTAGAGTAGCAACGACGTAACATTCTAGACTCCAACATACACTTTCCGCCCATTTAGTTTCTGAATCTGCCTGTTATTAAATTTCAACAGTTTATTATGTTTATCCCAAATTTTTCTCAGCTGGTTAAACTAAAACTGCAATTCAAAGATAAACCAATCGAAAAATAACCCTCACCTGTTGCTTCCCGATATGCAACGGCTTCATGAACACCGTCCAAACCACGACTTCGTTGCAGTTCGGAGTGGTCAAAGAACCGTAATATCGATAAAATTTACTACCAATGGGCAAAAGGTCAGCCAAAGCTACATCAAAATCCGAATAAATCCCCTCATCAACCCTATGAGCAATGTTCTCTACGTTATTAAGAGAAGCAAAGGCTGGATTGTTGCCTTTCTGCAGCTGAAACCCAAAATTTTCGCCTGAAACAACCCCAAGCAAGAATTGACCTCACACCTTGTAGAACACCCCCAGAGCAGCAACCCCGTTTTTCGTTTTGAGGGCGTTTTTGATGCTTTGGTGCTTTTTGGCGTAGAAGACGAAGTGGCCCTCTAGGGGAAACTTGTGACCTGGTACTTTGTGTTCGGAAGGCCAGTGGAAGTGGAAACCTTCCAGGACATATTCTCCGCTGAGTCCACCTCCGGAAACTGTGGGGTGCATGCTGGAATTGGCGAACCTAGCTTCAACTAAAATATTGGTTTTTGTATTAATGGTTCTGAGTTTTCTTGGTCCTACCGGTGTGTCCTGAATTTATCAAAATAATGGGGTTTTTGGTGTAGACGGTCGAGTCGAAGTTGAGGTCGGAGAAATGAGTCTTGACGGCATTTTTAGAGGGTAGTTCTATAGGGGATTGTGAATGTCCTTTGCACTGTGGAGGCCAGAGCTCTGCGAAAATTAAACAAAAAAGTGTTAATATTGAAGCTTTTTTTTCCCATCTGTTTGTCTGTCTGCTGTCTGTCCGGATTTTTATTAGACAGATAATCTCCAAAACTACTAGACCGGTTTTTGTCAATTTTGTATCATCGTGTAGATGGGAAAACGCTAACCCAGTATGTATGTATAAAGTAACATAGTCCTAAACTGTAGTTTCTGAATGAGTGTTGAATTTTTGAATCTGGATTTTTTTAAAAAATAAAACAAAATTGTAGATATAAAAATTCCCAAATTTTCGATATTTTAATTTTGCGATTTTTCAATTCTCCGATTTTTAAATTTTTAGGTTTTTCAGTTTTAAAATTTTTGGCTTTTCGATATTTAAGATGTTTCGATTTCTCAATTTCTCGATTAACCGATTTTTTGATTTTCCCATTTCTCTATTTCTCGACTTTTCAATGTTTCAGTTTTTTATGTTTCAATTTTGGAATTTCGATATTTTACTTTTTTGGTTTTTCAATTTTTCGATTTTCAAATTTCAAATTTTTCGATTTTTTTGATATTTCGATTTCTCGATTTTCTCTTGATTCTTCAAATTTTCGGTTTCTCAATCTTCCGAGGTTTCAGGTTTACGATTTTTCAATTTTTCGAATGTTCAATTTTTCGATTTTTCAATTTTTCCATTTTTCAAATGTAAAATTTTTTACTTTTGAAATTTTTTCAGTTTTTGGATTTTTTACATTTTAGATTTTTCAACTTCGGTTTCCCGTTTTTTTACGTTTTGATTTCCCAATTTTTAGGTTTCAGTTTTGGGATTTTTCGATGTTTTGATTCATCAATTATTCTTCCACTTTTCAATTTTTGATTGTGTGGAATTTTCATTATTTCGATTTGATTGATTCTTCGACTTTTCGATTTCCCGATTTTTACTTTTTTGATTTTTCAATTTTTCGATTCTTAAATTTTAGATTTACCAATTTTCCGATTTTTTGAATTTTTTTAAACAATTGATTTCTCAATTTCTCAGTTATCAATGTTTCGATTCTTCAGTTTCTCAATTCTTCAAATTTTCGATTTCTGAATCTTGCGATGTTGAAGCTTTTAGATTTTCAATTTTTCGTTTCTTTAATTTTTCTTCTATTTATTAATGTTTCGATGTCTGGAATTTTCATTATTTAGGTTTTTTTAGTTTTTGATTCTTCGATTCTTTGACTTTTCGATTTCTCGATTGTTTAATTTTAATATTTCAATTTTTCAATTTCTTGACTTTCAATTTTTCGATTACTCAATTTTTAGATATTTCATTGTTGAGATTTTTCAATTTCTCTATTCTTCATGTTCTTGATTCTTCAAATTTTCGATTTCCCAATTTTTTCATTTCCGATTTCACAATTTTCCGTTGTTTCAGTTTTACGATGTTTAATTTTTTGCCTCTTCAATTGTGATTTTTTAATTATTCGACTTTTCAATTTTCAAATTTTTGACTTTTTGAAATTTTCAATTTCTCGATTAATAGATTTTCTGATTGTCTTCAACTATTTAATGTTTCGATTTTTCAGGTTTTCAACTCTTCAAATTTTTTATTTTTCAATTTTTCGTTTTTTACATTTTTTCGACTTCGATTTCCCAATTTTTCAATTTTACGATTACTCAATTTTCCGATGTGTCAGTTTTTTTACAATTTATCGCTTTTTCAACTCTTCTATTTTTCGATTTTTCAATTTTCAAGTTTTTGATTTTTCCAAATTGTTGAATTTTCGATTTCGCAATTTCTGGATTAACCGATTTTTTTATTTTCCTATTTTTTGATACATCGACTTTTCAATGTTTCGATTTTTCAGTTTTTCACATCTTCAGTTTTTTCGATGTTGACAAATTTTAGATTTTTCAACTTTTTGATTTCTCGATGTTCCTGTTTCCCATTTGAGATTTTTCTATTCTTCAATTTTCCTTCCATTTTTCAATTTTTCGAAGTTTTATTATTTCGATTCAATTTCTCAATTAATCAGTATTGGCATGTTTCAATTTTTTGATTCTTTCATTTTTCTTTCATTAACCAAATTTTGGATGTCTGGAATTTTCATTATTTCGATTCTTCAAATCTTCAACTTTTCAATATTTCGATGTTTTGAATTCTCAATTTTTTACTTTTTTGATTTTTCAGTTTTTTGACTTTTCAAATTTGAAATATTTCGTTTTTTGAATTTTAAATTTTTGAATTTTTCAATGTTTTCATTTTTTGTTGTTTTGTTTTCTCGGTTTTCAATTTTTCCATATATTTAATTTTTCAAATTCTTAAATTTTAGATTTCTAGATTTTTCGATTTTTTAGTTCTTCAATACTTAAATCTATTTTTCAAATTTGCGAATTCTTAATGTTTTTATTTTTTTTTTGATTTTTCATTTTTTCGACTTTTTTATTTTAGGTTTTTCGATTTTACGGTTTCTTGATGTTTTGATTTTTTGATATTTCGGTTTTTCGATTTTTCGATTTTTCGACTCTTCGATTTCTAAATTTTTCTGCTTTTCGATGTTTCCATTTTTCAACTTTCTATTTCTCAATTTTTCAATATTTCAGTTTGGCGATTTTTCAATTTTTTTATTCTTTAGGTTTTCGATTTTCAATTTCTCTTACTTTTCAATTTTTAGATATTTCAGTGTTGGGATTCTTCAATTTTTCGATTCTTCGATTTCTAGATTCTTCAAATTTTCGATTTCTCAATTTTCCGATGTTACAGTTTTACGATTTTTCAATTTATCGAATTTTCTATTTTTCGATTTCTCGATTTTCCGATGTTTCACTTTGATCATTTTAATTTTTCAAATTTTTAAATTTTAGATTTCTAGATTCTTGGATTTTTCAGTTTTTCAATAATTCTATTTTCAATTTTTCCAGTTTTAAAATTTTTAATTTTTGATTTTTTTGGTTTTTCAATTTTTTTATTTCTCAATTTTGCTGTTTCATTTTTGAGACTTTCCAGTTTTTCCCTTCTTCAATTTATCTTCTATTTATCAAAATTTCGATGTGGGAGTTTTCATTATTTCGATTCTTCAATTTTTCGATTTTTCGGCTTTTCGATTTTTTCATTTTTCAACTTCTGATTTCTCAATTTTTCAATTTTCAGTTTTTTATTCTTCAATTTTTCGATTTTTCAATTTTTCGATTCTTTAATTCCTAGATTCTTCAATTTTTTGATTTTTCAATTTCCATATTTTTGAATTCGAATTTTCACTTTTTCGATTAAAGAAATTTTTGATTTTCCCATTTCTCCACTTTTCGACTTTTCAATGTTTCAGTTTTTTAGTTTTTCAATTGTTCAGTTTTTCATTTTTCAAGTTTTTGATTTTTCAGTTTCTCCCTTTTTAGTTTTCTCAATATTTCTTTTTCAGTTTTGGGATTTTCAATTTTTCAGTTCTTCAATGTCTGGAATTTTTATTATTTGGATTCTTCAATTTCTCGATTTTTCAATTTTTTGATTTTTATATTTTAGATTAATCAACTTTTCAATTTTTTCATGTTTCTATATTTCGATTGTTTAATTTTCAAATATTGCAAATTTTCGATTTTTCAGTTTGTCGACATTTCGGTTTTTCGATTTTTAAAATTTTTCGAGTTTGATTTTTCGATTTCTCTCCCGATTTGCCGTGTTTTCGTTTTTTCAAGTTTTTTACATTTCAATTTTGGGAACACATATTTCAATTTCCGGACTTTTCAATTATTCGATATTTTAATTTTTCAATATTTAAAATTTTGATTTCTTGATTTTTTTATTTTTCAGTTTTTTGATATTTCTATTTTACAGTTTTTCGAATTTTTAAATTTTCCATTTTCCAATTAATCGATTGTTTTTTAAATTGCAAGTTTTTGGATTTTTGATTTTTGATTTCGATTTAATTTTTCGATTTTTCGAATTTTCGATTTTTAAATTTTAGATTTTTGAATTTTTCAATTTTTCGATATTTAAATTTCTCAAATTTTTAAGTTTTAGATTTCCCGATTTTTTGATTCTTCATTTATTCGAAATTACTATTTTTAATCTTTGGAATTCTTAACTTTTTTATTTTTGATTTTTAAATTTTTCGACTTTAAATTTTACGTTTTTCGATTTTACGATTTTCTGATGTTTAGAGTTCTTGACATTTCGGTTTTTCGAGTTTTCGACTTTTCCTATTTGGATTTTTCGGTTTTTCAATTTTCAGATTTTTGACTTTTTAAATTTTTAATTTATTAAATTTTCATTTTTTCGACTCGATGTTTCAATTTTTAAATTTTAGATTTAACAAATTTTCGATTGTTTGATTTTTCAATTTTTCAAGTTCCCAATTTTTCATCATTTCAGTTTTGGAATTTTTCAATTTTCCGATTTTCAGATTATCAATTCTTCAGTTTCTTATTTCGATTTTTTAATTTTTTGATTTTTTAAATTTTGGAATTTCCATTTCTTGGCTTTTCGATTTTTTGAATTTTCGATTTTTGGAATTGGAAATTTTCGATTCTTAAGTTTTAGATTTACCAATTTTTTGGTTCTTTGAATTTTTTTAATCAATTGATTTCTCGATTGTTTAGTTTTTAATATTTCAATTTTTCAATTTCTCTATTTTCAATTTTTCGATTTTTCAGTTTCTCAACTCTTCAAATTTTCGATTTCTGAATCTTGCGATGTTTCAGTGTTTCGATTTTTCAATTTTTCGGCTCTTCAATTTTTCAATTTTTCTATTTTTAAATTTTTGATTTTTCGATTTCTCAATTCCTCTAATAATCGATTTTTTGGTTGTCGCCTTTCTCGATTCCTCGACTTTTCAATGTTTCGATTTTTCAGGTTTTTCAATTTTCATTTATTCGATTTCTTACATTTTCGACTTTAGATTTCGATTTCCGGATTTTTCAATTTTTCGGTGTCAATTTTGGGATTATTCAATTTTTCGTTTCTTTAATTTTGCTTCTATTTATTAATTTTTCGATGTCTGGAATTTTCATTATTTTATTTTTTTAGTTTTTGATTTTTCGACTTTTCGATTGTTTAATTTTAATATTTCAATTTTTCAATTTCTTGACTTTCAATTTCTCGATTACTCAATTTTCCGATATGTCAGTTGTTTACGATTTTTCGCTTTTTCAACTCTTCTGTTTTTCGATTTTTCAATTTTCAAGTTTTTGATTTTTCCAAATTGTTTAATTTTCGATTTCGCAATTTCTGGATTAACCGATTTTTTGATTTTCCCATTTTTCGATGTCTCGCCTTTTCAATGTTTCGATTTTTAAGTTATTCACATCTTCACTCTTTCGATGTTTACAAATTTTAGATTTTTCAATTTTTCGATTTGTTGGTTTTTCAATTTTTCGACTTTTCAAATTTGAAATTTTTCGTTTCTTAAATTTTAGATTTCTGAATTTTTCAATGTTTTCCTTTTTTGTGGTTTTGATTTCTCGGTTTTCAATTTTTCGATATTTTAATTTTTCAAATTCTTAAATTTTAGATTTCTAGATTTTTCGATTTTTTAGTTTTTCATTAAATCTATTTTTCAAATTTGCGGACTCTATATTTTTTATTTTTTTTTTATTTTTCAATTTTTCGACTTTCTAAATTTTACGTTTTTCGATTTGGTGATTTTCTGATGTTTTGATTTTTTGATATTTCTGTTTTTCGACTTTTCGCATTTCGATTTTTCGGCTTTTTAGTTTATTGATTTCTCAATTTTTCTACGTTTCGGTTTTGGGACCTTCCAATTTTTCGATTCTTCCATTTTTCGTCCTTGTGGGAGTTTTCATTATTCCGATTCTTCAATTTTTCGGCTTCCCGATGTTCAGTTTGGCGATTTTTCAATTTTTTTATTCTTCATTTTTCGATTTTTAATTTCTTCTACTTTTCAATTTTTCGATTACTCAGTTTTTAGATATTTCAGTGTTGGGATTCTTCAATTTTTCGATTCTTCGATTTCTAGATTCTTAAAATTTTCGATTCCTCAATTTTCCGATCTTTCAATTTTCGATTTTTTTATTTTCAAATTTTTGAATTTTTCGGTGTTTCAGTTTTTCGATTTTTTGATATTTCGATTTCTCGGTTTTCAATTTTTCGATATTTTCAGTTTATCAATAATTAAATTTTTCAATTTTTGGAATTTTAAAATTTTTAATTTTTGTTTTTTTTGATTTTTCAATTTTTCGACTTCTTAAATTTTACATTTTTCGATTTTACGATTTTCTGAAGTTTTAATTTTTTGACGTTTCAATTTTTTGATTTTTCGCATTTCGATTTTTCCGTTTTTCAATTTTTCCGATTGTTCGATTTCTGGATATTTCGATTTTCCGGTTTTTCTATTTTCAAAAAACCATACTTGAGAGGCCAGGGAAGTTCTGTTAAAATAACCTTCGAGCATTTTTTTGTGAAAAATAATCCACTTTTGCGTTCATTGTTATGTGAATTGCGATTAATGTAATAACAACAATTACTTTCATTGTTGAAGATTGAATAATAATTTCGTAATGTGGTATAATGGATTTAGATTAAGCTAATCTTCTTTTATGACTTGATTAGTAATTTTTGACAAATAAACTGAAAAACACAACTACTTTCTAGTGTTGGTACTTACTTTGGTTCTGATATGTCCATTCATGTGCATATGCATCTGAAAATAAAAATAATTTATATTAATTTTGCCCATATTATTTTTTAACATTTAAAAATGCGGTTTGAACGAAACTGCTAGCATTTGTCTACATTTCACTTGATATTATCATAATTTAGGAGAAATTTTGATAACTTTGGCAGAGAGTAGTGACAAAAGTCACGTTTGCTGATTTACTCGATGATATCGAAAAATACTCACTGAAGAAAACTTGCAAAAAAAATAGGTTTGCAGGAAGTGCCATCGTCAGCCAACAACAGATCACTACTAATAAAAACGAAAATGAGTCTAGCGTTTTATAATCATTTAATCGTTTTCAATGGCACGCGAATTTTAAAAAATAAAATTACCTTTGTTGTATCGCAAATGCGTGTTTTTATCTTTTATGATTTTGTAACAACAAGAAGATAAGTGTTACATTGTTGATGTCGAACAATTGGAGGGTAGGAGGCCATTATTTTCTACTTTTGGTATAACTGGTAAGGATAAACAATAAATGAGTTGGATGATAGTTTATTCAGCGAACCATTAATGGTAACAATGAGTATATGAAGTAAAAAGTCCTTGTTGGGTTTTTCGTTTAAGTACATTGGAACAAATAAAGTATTCGAAAATGGTTTAATTCGTAAGTGGAACGAAGATGGCGTGGTCAGTAGGATTTATATATTATCTCTAGAAATACTGTGTTTATTTTTATGTAAAACTATTTATTATAACCACGTTTAGTAATTTAAACGCAAAAAGAAAAATATTATTCCGACTTTAGTATGCTATTCTTATTGATCTTTAATTTCTAAAAAGTTTGGTTGGTTATGCAACCAATAATACACATAATGTGTACATTTCGCGACTTATTTTTTTTTTTTAACAATCTTACACAAACATTTATACACACGCTGTATAAAATTGTTAATACCGTAACGTTGGCAATTGACGTCAAGAAAACAAAGACAAACTTAGTGGAATATTTAATTTTACCATAAATTATTAAAGAATCCTTGACAAGGACATAAATAATGTCACAATCAGTACAGTTTTAGACGATTTCGTCGAATTAACTCAACTGCGATTACTTGCCGCTTCCAAAAAATTTCATTACGAAAATGGTTTATTTTTAGCTAGTTTTGCGTTCAACGAATATTAATAAGGATATAAATTTTTTTTACCAAGGATAATAATAATTATTCAAAAAATAGACTAACTGAGAAATCGGAAAACTGAAAATTCAGAAACGTCAAAACTTGAAAATTTTAAAAATTGGAAAACTGAATAATCGGATAATTCAAAAATCAAAAAGCCGAAAAGTAAAAAAACGAAAAACCGATAAATCGAAACATCAAAAAATAAAAAATCGAAAAATAGAAATTTTGAAAAATCCCAAAACTGAAACAAATATCCAAAATTGAGAAATTACAAATTTAGTCAACCGAAAAATCCAAAAATCAAAGAATTGAAAAATTGAAAAATCGAATTCGAGAAACGAGAAAATCAAAAAAAATATATTAATTGAAAAATCGGAAAACAATTGAAATATTGGAAAATTGAAAAATGGGGAAATCCAAACATCAAAGATTCAAAAAAGAGAAATTCGAAAATCTAAAACTTAAAAATCGAAAAACTGAAAAATCGACAAATCGAAACTCCAGAATTTAAAAAAATTGAAAGTCCAAACATCGAAAATAGAAAAAAATTGAAAAATTTTAAAAAAGACAAATTAAAACATCGAAAAGTTGAAAAAAAATTGAAAATCCAAAAAGTAAAAAAGGGGTGGAAACCCAAAAACTACAAAATGAAAAATTAAAAAATTGGAAAATTGATGAATTGGAATCGATTGGCCTGAAAATTTGAAAAATCGAATAAACTAAAAATTGTAAAATCGAAAGAAACAACAAAAAATAAAGAAAATGAAAAACTAAAAATTGTGATATAAAATCGAAAAAGTGAAAATTGAAAAATCGGGAAAATGAAAAATAAAAATCGGAAAAAGAAAAAAATAAAAATTAAGAAACTGAAAAACCGAAAAATGAAAAACTAATATTGAAAAATTGCCAAATTGAAAAACTGATGCAAACCGAAAAATTGAAGGAACGAAAAACTGAAAATTTTGGAAGTCGAGAAATTGTAAAATTGAAAAATCAAAAATAAAAAACGAAAAATTACAAAATGAAACTTGAAAAATTTTAAGAATCGAAAAAGTGAAAAATAAAAAAAAAAGAAATATGTATTATGAAATAGAAATATTTAAAATGAAAGAAATTGGAAAACTGGAAATCCAAAAACTGCAAAGTAAAAATTTAAAAATTGAAATATGGACGAATTAAAAATTCAATGCCTCAAAATTTGGAAAATTGAACAAATGAAAAATTGTAAAATCAAAAAAAAAATACAGAACATAAAGGAAATGAAAAAACGGACAATTGTGATATAAATCGAGAAAATAAAAATCGGGAACATGAAAAATTGTGGAAACGAAAAATTGAAAAATCGAAAGAAGCAACAAGAAATTGAAAGAATGAAAATTTGTGACATAAAACCGAGAAAATGAAAATTAAAAAAATCGGGAAAATTAAAAGAAAAATCGAGAACTTGAAAAATTGAGGAAACGAAAAATTGAAAATGACAAAAATTAAAAACTGAGAATATGAAAAATCGAAAAATGAGAAACTGTAATATCGAAAAATTGCAAAATTAAAAAATTGTAACTCGAAAAATTGAAAAATTTACAAGTCAAAAAACTGTAAAATTGAAAAATCAAAAATAAAAAACGAAAAAGTATATAATGAAAACTTGAAAAATGTCAAAAGTGAAAATCAAACATGAAAATTTGAAGAAACTGAAAACTCGAAAAATCTAATGTTTAAAAAACGAAAAACTGAAAATCCGAAAAATAAAAAATCAAAAAGTCGAAAAATAGAAGTTTTGAAAAATCGCAAAACTGAAACAAATATCCAAAATTGAGAAATTAAAAATTTAGCCAACCGAAAAATCCAAAAATCGAAACATCGAGAAATAGAAAAAAATTGAGAAATTGAACAATCAAAACATCCAAACATCTGAATTCGATAAATCGAGAAATAAAAAAAAATGAAAAATTTTAAAAAAGAAAAACTGAAATATCGAAATGTTGAAAAAAAATTGAGAAATCGAACTATAAAACTGTCGAAAATTTGAAAAATCTAAAAATTGGAAAATCGACGAATTGGAATCGATTGGCCTGAAAATTTGAAAAATTGGATAAACGAAAAATTGGAAAATCGAAAGAAACAACAAAAATTAAGAAAATGAAAAAACAAAAAATTGTGATATAAAATCGAGAAAATGAAAAATAAAAAATCAGGAAAATGCAAAATTAAAATCGGGATGCGCTTTATTGTGGTGTCCATTAGATAAAATTTTAATATACCGAGTGTCCATAAAAAAATTAAAAATGTTACAATTTTCAGAAATCAATATTTCAGTTTTTTTAAATGGAACCTCGGTTTTTTATTACTGCATCTTACAGAAAAAAAAAACAATAAGATGCATAAATAAAATACGGTGTGTTTTATTCAAAAGAAATGAATATTTGAAAATTTTTGTTACTTTTAGTCTTTTTTGTCTCCGTTTTAGTAATTTTTCATGGCACTGTTTTCATCGTTTTTGACATTATTCTGCTCTTGGTTTCGCCCTTTTTGCCGTCTTTTTTGCACTTTTATTGCCCTTTTGCGATATTTTTGTTGTATATTTTTAAATGCCCTTCTTGTTTCTTTTTCGTCCAACAAAGAATAAGAACCAGAATGAGATGTAATACCGAGTGTTGTATTTTAAATGTCTTTGTCATTTTGTTTGTTTTTTCCTGTCCTCTTTTTGTCCCTATTTTTTGACAATTTTGCGTCCCCTTTTTTATTGCATTTTCATTTTTGTCATCATTTTTTAATTTTTTTGTGGCCATTTTTGCGCATTTTTGAGAACTTTTAGTCTGTTTTTTCTCATCTTTTTGTTGAAGAATTTTTGTTACTTTTTCCTTGTTGACTTTTTGTCCCTCTTGTAGTATTGTTTATTTATTTTTTATTTAAAATGATTTAATCATTTATATACGGAAAAATTACGGAAATCAGTATAAAGAAAAATACATGTAAATCATTTGTTGAACTTTTGTGCATTTTTTGTCAAAATTTGTGTTCCATTTTTTGTCTTTCTCCTTGTCAGTTTTTTCATTTTTTGTGGCATTTTTTTCCGCCTTTTTTGTCGTTAGTTACGTTTTGGGCCCCTTTGTCAAGTTTTTATCGTTCTTTTATTGCATTTTTCGTCGAATTTTTGGCTCCCTTTTGTCGGTTTTCTGCCCCTTTGTGCCAATGTTCTATGCCCTCTGTTGTCCCCATTTCTTTTTTTTTGTCCCTACTTATCACCTAAATTTTTGTCCTTTTTTTCAATTTTTACCTTATTCTTTTTTCCCGCTTTTTCACTTTTGTCAGTTTTTTCTTTCTTCATAATTTTTGTACCTTTTTTTGTCGTCATATTTTGTCCTTTTATGTTGTTTTTTTAATCAGTTTTTGTTAACTTTTTGTCTTTTTTTTTCTTAAAATTTTTGGTCCCATTTTTTTGTGAACCTTTGGTTCCTGTTTTTCTCACATTTTTGTTCCCTTTTTTCATTGGCTTTCACCTGTCGGTGTTTTTTTTTTCGTCATTTTTTCTGACTATTTTTGTCCCACTTTGTTCTTTTTTTTGTTACTTTTCATGTAGTTTTTTGTCGTTTTCGTTTTCTTTAATTCCCTTTCTTGTCTCTTTTTGACCAAAGAGAGAACAAAAAATACAACAAGATGCAGTAATAAGATACCGGGTGTTCTATTTGAAAAAACACAATTTCCATTTTTGAAAATGTTTTTTTTTTATAAACACTTGTTGAAAAATTAAGGGGATGAAAATTTGAAAAAGGGAAAAATTAAAAATCGAGAATGTGAAAAATGGAAAAATAAAAAATTGTAATATTGAAAAATTGGATAATTTGCAAGTCGACAAACTGTAAAATTGAAAAATCAAAAATAAAAAAACGAAAAAGTGTAAGTATAATAAAAACTTGAAAAATGTAAAAAGTGAAAATCAAACTTGAAAATTTTAAGAAAAATTGAAAAAACCTGAAAATTTGAAAAATTGAATAAACGAAAAATTGTAAAATCGAAAGAAACAACAAAAAATAAAGGACACAAAAAAACGAAGAATTGTGATATAAAATCGAAAAAGTGAAAATTAAAAAAATCGGGAAAATGAAAAATAAAAATCGGAAACAAAAAATTGGAAAAGGGAAAAATTAAAAATTGAGAAACTGAAAAATCGAAAAATGAAAAACTAATATTGAAAAACGGCCAAATTGAAAAACTGATGCAAACCGAAAAATTGAAAATTTTGGAAGTCGAGAAATTGTAAAATTGAAAAATCAGAAATAAAAAACGAAACATTCCAAAATGAAAACTTGAAAAATCTTAAGAATCGAAAAAGTGAAAAAAAAAAAAGAAATATGTATTATGAAATAGAAATATTGAAAATTAAAGAAATTGGAAAATCGAAAGACCGGAAATCCAAAAACTGCAAAGTAAAAATTTAAAAATGGACGAACTGAAAATTCAAAGCCTCAAAATTTGGAAAATTGAACAAATGAAAAATTGTAAAATCGAAAAAAAAAACACAGAAAATCAAGGAAATGAAAAAACGGACAATTGTGATATAAATCGAGAAAATAAAAATTAAAAATTCGCCACATTGAAAAATAAAAATCGGGAACATGAAAAATTGTGGAAACGAAAAATTGAGAAACTAAAAATTCGAAAAATTGACGAAACGAAATATCGAAAAATCGAAAGAAACAACAAGAAATTGAAAAAATGAAAATTTGTGACATAAAACCGAGAAAATGAAAATTAAAAAAATCGGGAAAATGAAAAATAAAAATCGAGAACTTGAAAAATTGAGGAAACGAAAAATTGAAAATGACAAAAATTAAAAATGAGAAAATTTAGAAGTCAAGGAACTGTAAAATTGAAAAATCAAAAATAAAAAAACGAAAAAGTATATAATGAAAACTTGAAAAATGTCAAAAGTGAAAATGAAACATGAAAATTTGAAGAAACTGAAAACTCGAAAAATTCAGAAATCGAAATATATATAAAATAGTCGAAAATTGAAAAATCTAATGTTTAAAAAAACAAAAACTAAAGAATCAAAAAGTCGAAAAATAGAAATTTTGAAAAATTCCAAAACAGAAACAAATATCCAAAATTGAGAAATTAAAAAATTGGCCAACCGAAAAATACAAAAATCGAAGAATTGAAGAACTGAAAAATCGAAACTGCGAATTCGAGAAACGGGAAAATAAAAAAATATATATATTAATTGAAAAATCGGAAATCCAAATATCAAAGAACCGAAAAAGAAGAATTTGAAAATCTAAAACTTAAAAATCGAAAAACTGAAAAATCGACAACTAAAAAAATTTAAAATCGGATAACTGAAAAATCGAAACATCGAAAAACCGAGAAATCCAAAACTCGAAACATCGAGAAATAAAAAAAAAAATTGAGAAACTGATAAAATGAGAAATAAAAAAAATTGAGAAATTAAAAAAAAACAATTAAAACATCGAAAAGTTGAAAAAAAAGAGAAATCGAAGTATAAAACTGCCCAAAATTGGAAAAATCTTAAAGTTTAAGGAAAAATTGAAAATCCAAAAAGTAAAAAAGAGGTGGAAACCCAAAAACTGCAAACTGAAAAATTTAAAAATTGGAAAATCGATGCATTGGAAAATCGAAAGAAATAACAAAAATTAAGGAAATGAAAAAACAAAAAATTGTGATATAAAATCGAAAAAATGAAAATTAAAAAATCAGGAAAATGCAAAATAAAAATCGGAGAGTTGAAAAATTTAGGGGACGAAAAATTGAAAAAGGGAAAAATTAAAAACTGAGAATATGAAAAATGGAAAAATAAGAAATTGTAATATTGAAAAATTGGAAAATTTGGAAGTCGACAAACTGTAAAATTGAAAAATCAAAAATAAAAAAACTAAAAAGTGTAAGTATAATAAAAACTTGAAAATTTGAAAAATTGAATAAAGGAAAAATTGTAAAATCGAAAGAAACAACAAAAAATACAGAAAACGAAAAAACGAAAAATTGTGATATAAAATCGAAAAAGTGAAAATTAAAAAATCTTGAAAATGAGAAATAAAAATCGGAAACAAAAAATTGGAAAAGGTAAAATTAAAAATTGTGAAATTGAAAAATAGAAAAATGAAAAACTAATATTGAAAAATTGCCAAAATTGAAAAACTAATGCAAACCGAAAAATTGAAAATTGAGAAATCGTAAAATTGAAAAATCAAAAATAAAAAACGAAAAATTACAAAATGAAAACTTGAAAAATCTTAAGAATCAAAAAAGTGAAAAGTCAAAAAAAAGAAATATGTATTATGAAATAGAAATATTGAAAATTAAAGAAATTTGAAAATCGGAAGACTGGAAATCCAAAAACTGCAAAGTAAACATTTAAAAATTGAAAAATGGACGAACTGAGAATTCAAAGCCTCAAAATTTGGAAAATTGAACAGATGAAAAATTTTAAAATCAAAAAAAAAACACAGAAAATAAAGGAAATGAAAAAACGGACAATTGTGATATAAATTGAGAAAATAAAATTTACAAACTGAAAATTCGAAAAATTGACGAAACGAAAAATTGAAAAATCGAAAGAAGCAACAAGAAATTGAAAAAATAAAAATTTGTGACATAAAACCGAGAAAATGAAAAATAAAAATCGAGAACTTGAAAAATTGAGGAAACGAAAAATTGAAAATGACAAAAATTAAAAACCGAAAATGTGAAAAATCGAAAAATGAGAAACTGTAATATGGAAAAATTGCAAAATAAAAAACTTGCAACTCGATAAATTGAAAAATTTAGAAGTCAAGAAACTGTAAAATTGAAAAATAAAAAATAAAAAAACGAAAAATTATATAATGAAAATTTGAAAAATGTCAAAAGTGAAAATCAAACATGGAATATTTAAATTTAAATTTTTATAGTATTGATAGTTGTATATAAATATCATTGTAGTCAAACAATTTTTATTTACTTCGATTATGCTTTATTAACAAGAAAAAGCACCAAAAAATTCTTAGCACCACGAATCCAAGACTCGTCTCCCATTCAGTGGCTGCAAATCTCTGTAATTATTTTTCACAGGGTCATTCTCCGCATCCCAGATTTGCACCAACTTGTTGAACTGAAAAACCAACAGAATTTTGTTTTGTTTCAATTTAATAACAGACCTTTGATATAGCTCGTGTGCGTTTAAACACCGTCCAAACAACAACCTCGTTGCAATCTGGAGTGGTCAAAGAACCATTGTACCGGTAAAACCCGCCACAATCTTTGGGGAAGTAATCTCTCAGAACTACAGGATTTCGTGCAGTCACGGGTTGATCCACTTTATGGGCCACCAGTGGTATATCTCGAACGAAATTGAAAGCCGAATTCCAGAACACGAATGGTACTTTCTGAAAAACAAACCTTCCATAAACTGGACCGTGGGTTTGATATAGTCACCTGGTAAAAAACTGCAAAAACGGCCACTCCTCCTTTGTTACTAAGAGCACTTTCCAAATTTGGGTACTTCTGAGAGTAGTAGACGAAGTGACCCTCCAAAGGATACCTTATCAAAATTAATAACAAAACTCTTGCTGATAGTAAAATAGTAGTTCTACCTGTGTGTATCTATCACATGTTCAGCAGCCCAGTGAAAATGAAAACTGTCAAAAACGTAGGTCCCGTCAAGACCACCTCCAGACACAGTCGGAGGATTCGATTCATCCACAAATCTAACCTCAACTATTTTTTTCATTAGTTAGTTGTGTTTTTTCAGTACGTACCTGTATGTCCGGTATTGGTCACATTCGCCTTCTTTTTTTCAGAAGTGGCCCGATTGAATTGAAAATTCTTCAGACATGAGTCCACGGCGTTCTTCGTTATTATTTGAATTGGGGACTGTTCTTGGCCTTTGCAAGTAGGGGGCCATGCGTCTGCAACACAGAATAAAATTAAAAAAAAAACGTGTAACTAAGTAAGTCGTAGATAAAATTATGTAAATTACGAGTGAGTTAACGCGTTATGTCACGCTCCGTTAGTGTTTGTTTATACCTTGATTTTCATACGACCACTCTGAGGCACCTGAACCTAAAATTTGCTTTTATTCGTGAAAGAGAAATATTTATCAACTAGGTATAACTTACACCAAAGAATTTGGACGAATGTTATAAACACAAAAATAAGCATTTTTATGTATTAAACAAAACCTGATACACTTTCAGTGGCTTGTAATCAAGTGACAAAACAAATTAAGCGTTTAGAGGACCCAGTCACGTTTTAAATGTAATAAGACGTCAAATATATTTTTAAATTTATAATTTTTCATACAAACAACATGTAAAACCGAAAAATCTACATAACAGACAATTAAGTCGCACTCAATCTTTTTTGTATTGTAATAAAGTTGTTTTTTTTTCAGAAAGTATAAATTATTTCTATTTTTATCTTTACTACCGTTCGGAAACGTGGTCATTGTTCGCATATCATTTCTCACTGATGTCAGTTGTAATATGTGCGAAATGGGTACTATTACGGATCAAAAAATACTATTTCACTTTATTCAGAATTCAGAGTACAGAAACCAGAGATTTAGTAGTAAATATTATCATTTCCACACGACTCCCACACTGTTCTTCGATTCACTGCTTGTGGATCTCTGTAATTACTTCTCAATCTATCTCCCATTTCGTCCCGAATGTCGACCAGTTTCTTATACTGAAAAACCACCATCAGCTTTAGTTCCTCGATTTTTGCTACCCACCTGTGATACCGGAATGTTCTGGGGTTTTTTAAATATCGTCCAAATAACGCCTTCGTTGCAGTTCGGGGTGGTTAGAGAACCGTTGTAACGATAAAAGTCGTTAAGGTTTTGCGGGAGGAAGTCTGCTAAGGTTATGGGGTTGTTTGAGACAAGTGATTTGTTTATTCTTCTAGCCACCATTTCGATTTCGTGCACAAAGCTGAAGGCTGGACTCGGTATTGATGTTTTCAGTGTCTACAAAACGTCAGTAGTGTTAAATTTTGGTGTGAAATTTTGGGTTGTTTGTTTACGTTGTAAAAGACAGCAAATACGGCCACTCCACCTGGGTGTGACATCGCACTTTCAAGATTAGGGTAGTTTTCGGAGTGGTGTACAAAGTGTCCTTCCAAGGGGTACCTTCGGTAAAATTGTTCATGGTTATGAAGATTTATCCTTACCAATTAGTGTTGCTTCTTTTGAATTTTCATAATTTTAAAAACGTTTTGGTTTTTATCTAGTAGTACTACAAAAATTTGAAGTCTGTAGGTTCTAAAATATTTTTATTTATCACGATTTTGTCATATGTCGATTTTGTCTTGAATATTCACATTTTTCAATTTCATTTTTCTGCATTTTTTGTGACATCATATTTTAAAATCTATTTCAAATTCTGCCATAGTTAAAGGTACTACCCATAAATTGTACTGACTCCAACACTTCTTCGTTACTTGCACGAAACGTGTTCGGAAAGTTTCGGTAAATAGATTTTTTATTACTGAGAATTTTGAAAATGGTCTATTACAAAATAATAGTTAATACATTGAAATTATTTAAAAAAAAATAGGATAACCAATAACAACTTATTCTTCCAATTTGAAAAAGTTTTTTTAGTTATGAAATAGGTTGAAAAGTGTGAAAAATGTCGGAGTCTCCCAATTTTTTTTTTTATTAGAAAAATATCTATGGCCTCTAATGTTTTATTTTTCAAGCAGTTTAAAAAATGTCACCGTCCCCTGATGTTTTGAAGTGATTCTAAGAATCTCGGGAACTCCTAGCGTTATTTTTTAAAGAGTTTAAAAGGACCTCTGGGGCTCCTAGTCTTATTTTTTTAGGATTTAAAAGAATCCTGGGGCTCATAATAACTAATTTTACGATGAGCTTAAAATAATCTCGGAGTCCCCTAGTGTTTTAATTTCGAAACAGTTGCATGTCACAATCCGCTGGTGTTTTTGAAGTAACTACGAATCTCGGAGACTCCTGATGTTATTTTAATCGAGAGCTAAAATAATCTCGGAGTCCCCCAGAGTTTTAATCTTGAAAGAGTTGGAAAGAGTGTCAGTGTTGGTGTTTTACTTTTGAAGAAATTTCAAAAATCTCAGGGACTCATATAGTGTTAAGTTTTAAGGAGTTTAAAAGAACCTCGAGAGCTCCTAATGTGTTGTTTTTCGGTGGGCTTAAAATAATCTCGGGGTCCTCTAGTGTTTTAATCTTGAAAGGGTTTGAAAAAGTGTCATGGTCCCCTGGTGTTTTATTCTTGAACAAATTTAAAAAAAGAATGCAATAATCCTGTGCTGTTTTTTTTTAGGTAATTTCAAGGATCTCGAAGATTCATATGGTAATTTTTTTAGAGTTTAGAGGAATTTCGGAGACTCATAATGTCATTTTTTTCGAGAGCTAAAATAATCTCGGAGTCCTCCAGAGTTTTAATCTTGAAAGAGTTGGAAAGAGTGTCACGGTCCCCTGCTGTTTTACTTTTGAAGTAATTCTAAAAATCTTGGGGACTCAAAGTGTTATATTTTAAAGGGTTTAAAAGAATCTCGAGAGCTCTTACTGACTTATTTTTCGGTGAGCTTAAAGTAATCTCGGAGTCCCCTAGTGTTTTATCTAATCTTGAAAGGGTTTGAAAGAGTGCCAAGGTTCGCTGGTGTTTAATCTTGAAAATTTTAAAAAAGAATGTCACAATCCGCTGGTGTTTTTTTAAGTAATGTTAGGAATCTGGGGACTCATAGTGTCATTTTTTTTGAATTTAGAAGAATCTTGGAAACTGATAATGCCATTTTTTTTTGAGAACTTTAACTAATCTCAGGGTCCCCTAGAGTTTTAATCTTGCAAGAGTTGGAAAGAATGTCAGTGCTCAGTATCCCCTGGTGTTTTATTTCTGAAGTAATTTTAAAAATCTCTAGGATTCATAGTGTATTTTTTTAGAGTTTAGAAGAATCTCTGGGACTCATAATGTCATTTTTTTCGAGAGCTTAAGATAATCTCGGATCCCTAGAGTTTTAATCTTGAAAGACTTGGAAAGAGTGTCAGAGTCGACTTGTGTTTTACTTCTGAAGTAATTTTAAAAATCTCGAGGACTCGTACTGTTATATTTTAAAGAGTTTAAAAAAAAAGAACTTGGAGATCTTCTAATGTCTTGTTTTTCGGTGAGCTTAAAATAACCTCGGAGTCCCCTAGTGTTTTAATCTTGAAAGGGTTTGAAAGTGTGCCAAGGTGCGCTGGTGTTTAATTTTGAAAAATTTAAAAAAGAATGTGAGAATCCGCTGGTGCTTTTTTAAGTAATTTTAGGAATCTCGGGGACTCACAGTGTAATTTTTTTTATAGTTTAGAAGAATCTTGGAGTTCCCCAGAGTTTTAATCTTGAAAGAGTTGAAAAGAGTGTCAATGTCCCAGGGTGTTTTACTTTTGAAGTAACTTTAAAAAACTCTAGGACTCATAGTGTTATAATTTAGAGAGTTTGAAAGAACCTCGCGGTCTCCTAATGTCTTGTTTTCCATGACCTTAAAGTAATTTCGGAGTCCCCTAATGTTTTAATCTTGAAATGGTTTGAAAGAGTGTCATGGTTCCTTTATGTTTTACTTCTGAAGTAATTTTAAAAAACTCGGGGACTAATAGTGATATTTTTTAAAGAGTTTAAAAGAATTTCTAGGGCTCCTAGTGTTTTAATCTTGAAAGGGCTTGAAAGAATGTCATTGTCCACTGGTGTTTAATTTTTGAAAAAATTTGAAAAAAGGATTTCACAATGCGCTGTTTTTTTAAAGTAATTTTAAAAATTTCGGGGACTCAGTGTATTTTTTTAGAGTTTAGAAGAATCTCGGGGACTCATAATGCCATTTTTTCGAGAGCTTAAAATAATGTCGGAGTCCCCTAGAATTTTAATCTTGAAAGAGTTGGAAAGAGTGTCCCCGGGTGTTTCACTTTTGAAGTAACTTTAAAAATCTCTAGGACTCATAATGTTATAATTTAGAGAGTTTAAAAGAACCTCGAGGGCTCCTAATGTCTTGTTTTTCGGTGACCTTAAAGCAATTTCGGAGTCCCTTAATGTTTTGATCTTGAAATGATTTGAAAAAGTGTCATGGTTCCCTAATGTTTTACTTCTGAAGTAATTTTAAAAAACTCGGGGACTAATAGTGACTTTTTAAAGAGTTTAAAAGAACTTCGAGGGCTCATAGTGTTTTAATCTTGAAAGGGTTTGAAAGAAAGTAATTGTCCACTGGTGTTTAATTTTTGAAAAAATTTGAATAATGGATTTCACAATCCGCTGATGTTTTTTTAAAGTAATTTTAAAAATTTCGGGGAATCAGTGTATTTTTGTTAGTAAACTCTAACAAAAATACACTGAAAATTCCGCTGGTGTTTTTTCAAGTAATTTTAAGAATCTCGGGGACTCGGTGTTAATTTTTTTGAATTTAGAAGAATCTTGGGAATTCATAATGTTATTTTTTTCGAAAGCGTAAAATAATATCGGAGTCCCCAAATGTTTTAATCTTGAAAGGGTTTGGAAAAGTGTCATTGTCCACTGGTGTTTAATTTTTGAAAAAATTTGAAAAAAGGATTTCACAATTCGCTTTTAAAGTAATTTTAAGAATCTCGGGAACTCTTAGTGTAATTTTTTTTAGAATTTAGAAGAATCTTGGGAACTCATAATGCCATTTTTTCGAGAACTTTTTTTTGGAAGAACTTTAAACATTTATACGCTGCTAACTCAAAGTGGAACGGAGATTAGTTAATCTTGCGTTTTATTACACTACTTAGAATCATTCAGCTGATAAATAAAATTTGTTTAAATATTTATAATTTCTAAACGGGTAGTTGAAAAACAAACAAAAACGACATAAAACCTGCAATGCGTACCTGTATTCATCAATACTATGTTCAGACCTCCAGTGAAAGTGGAAAGAGTCCAAAACGTACTTCCCTTGAAGTCCACCCCCACAGACAGTCGGGCTGTAGTTGTCGTTCAGAAATTTGACTTTGACTACATATTTTCCAATAATTAGTTAACTACTTCTTAGAAACAAAGAAGCGTATTACCTGAACGACCAGTATTAGTCACAGTCGCCATCTTTTCCTGATATATGGCATCACTGAACTGAATATTCGGGAAAGATTTCCTGACGGTTTCTCTTGTTCTTATGTCAATCGGGGATTGTTGTATTCCTTTGCAGCTGGCGGGCCAGTCTTCTGTCGTGAACAAAACAAACCAATAAAAACTGTACAGTAAAAATTTTCCGAAAACTTTTCTAACCTTGAAACAAGTAAGACCACGATGTGGAAGATGCAACAGAATCTGAAATTTAATTTGGTTTGTTTTTCTTACACCAAAAATGAATGAATTTAGGTACTTACAGAAAGCAAGTTGTAAAAGTATAGGAACCATAAAACTAGCCATCATGCATGAAATTGACCAGCGGAGAATTGCTTTTTACTTATAGGGCCGTTAATGGTAGGTAATAAAATATCAATTAGTCGTAATATCAAAATAAAACCTGCTTTGAGTAATTTTGCTAAAATCAATTAGTTTTAAGTCGGGCGGTGCAGCTGGGTGGCTGGAAAAATTCACGAATTTATTCGTAGTATTATAGACAGGAGTGCGTTGGTGGAAATTTTGCACAAGCAGGTTCCTAAATTGGGCGTAAAATTTCAATTGACCGAGGGCACGAACGAATTAGCATAAAAATTCACTTATTTTATATATGTACAGATTGTACAATGAAATGCAAATTTCTAAGGACGTCTTTGTAATTATATTATATATAGTTTAATTTTATTATTTCCTGTAAGTGGGTGTAAAATTATTTCCTGTAAGTGGGTGTAAAACCTGTTGGAAATAAAGTTTATTTATTTATTATTTATTTATTTATATGACACAATATAATCATCAATTCAATTTTGAAACATCTTTTGTAATCCAGGCTCAAGTGGCATCGGTGTTATGGGTTGCCTATTTTAAAACACAAATGGGTCATCTTAGCTACATAAGCCTGTATATAGTTAACCCCACCTATTTACCCTCCTGCCACTCTGCGGAAGAATACGTAATTAGCCCCACCCACCCACCCGGCCTCCATTTCAATGTTTTTTATCTGCTCTGATTGCATCGTACACTCAACAGAAACAAAATTAGTCGTTAAAATAAGAAGAGGGCGGGTGGGCGGGGCTAGTGCTTGCTAAGTTAAGACTGAGTTAAGATATTTTTTTTTGATTTTTCAATTGTTTTTTTTTACTGATTGTTGATTTTTTAGTTATCCGATTTTTTACTTTCGCTATTTTTTAACATTTCGGTATTTCAATTTTTTTTATTGTTCAATTTTCGATTTTTGAATTTTACAGTTTTTTCGATGTTTATTTTGACATTCTTCAACTTTTCACTTTTACAATTTGTTGATTTTTTTATTTCTAGAAAATTTTGTTTTCCGAATTTTTCTATTTCTCGATTTTTAATTAATCAGTTTTTCCTTTTCTAATTGTTGGCCTCTTAATTAATCGATTTTGAGTTTCTTTATTTTTGCAGTTTTTCGATTTCCAAATTTTTAAATTGTTCGGTTTTCAATGTTTCTTTTTCGATTTTTCAGTTTTTAATTTTTTTAAATTTCAGTTTGAATAAATTTCTCCTTTTGTTGAAAAATTAAAAAACGAAAAATTGAGAAAATGAAAAATTAAAAATAAAGTACTTCTAAGTACGTAATTTCAAGTTGTTTCGTTTATTTACTCAATTCGAGATTTTTTAATTTTTGTTTTTTTTAAATTGTTGATATTTCGATTTCTCGATTTTTTATTTTTCAGAAAAATTTTTGTATGTTTCGATTTTATAATTTGCAGCTATTTTAATTTTGCGATTTTTCAAGTTGCTTATTCATTTTTCGATTTTCCATCTTTTTACAATTGTTCGTTTTTTCAATTTTTAATTTATCACTTTTTCAGGTTCCAATGTTACAAATTTTCGGTTTTACGTTTTTTTTTTCAAATTTACAATTTTGTAATAGTTTCATTTTTAAATTTCCCGATTTTCAATTTTTCACTTTTTTCAAATAATTATTATTAGCATTATTTTCAAGTGTACAATTCTTGGCTTTTCAATTACCCGATTTTTCAGTTTCTGTATTTTTTCAAATCTTCGATGTTACAATTTTTCCATGTTCCTTTTTACAATTTTTTAATTTTTTAGTTTTTTGAATTTTGAAATTATTTTTTTTTGTATTTTTGATTGTTTAATTTATAGAAGTTTTTGTATTTCGTTTTTCCAATTTTTCACTTTCTCGATTTTTAATTAATCAGGGTTTTCAGGTTTCAATATTACAATTTTCCGATTTTTCAATTATCCCATTGTTCAATTTCTCAATTTTTTCATTTTCTATTTTTCAATTTTAAAATTTTTGTATATTTCAAGTTTCATTTTTCAGTTTTTAAGTCTCATTTTTTCGGTTTTTTCAAGGTTTCTTTACTTTTTCAATTGTTCGATTTCTCAATTTTTTGATTTTTCAATTCAATTCAAAATTTCGGTTTGAATAAATTTCGTTTTGTCGATTTTTAATTAATCACGGTTTTGAGGTTTCAATATTACAATTTTTTGATATTTCTAGTTTCATTTTAAAATCTTTAGGTTTTGAAATTAAAATTTTTTGTATTTTTGATTATTTAATTTATAGAAATGTTTGTATTTCGTTTTTTTTTCATTTTTCAATTTCTCGATTTTTAATTAATCAGGGTTTTCAGGTTTCTACATTACAATTTGTCGACTTATTTAATTTCTCATTTTTTCATTTTTAGATTTTTCAGTTTTAAAATTTTTCTATATTTCAAGTTTCATTTTTCAATTTTTGATTCTCATTTTTTCGGTTTTTGTCAATTTTCCTTTATTTTTTCAATTCTTCGACTTGTCAATGTTTAAATTTTTCGATTTTTCAATTATCCCATTGTTCAATTTCTCAATTTTTTCACTTTTCGATTTTCCAATTTTTAAATTTTTCGATATTTCAAGTTTGATGTTTCAGTTTTTAAGTCTCATTTTTTCGGTTTTTTCAAGTTTTCTTTACTTTTTCAATTCTTCGATTTCTCAATTTTTTAATTTTTCAATTCAATTCAAAATTTCGGTTTGAATAAATTTGTCCTTTCATTGAACAATTAAAAAATGACAAATCGAGAAAATGAAGAAACAAAAATCGAGAATTTGAAAAATTTTATACCGAAAAATTGCAGATTTGCTTCGATTTGTGGATTTTTAATTAATCAGGGTTTTGAGGTTTCTTTTTTACAATTACTTAATTTTTTAGTTATTCGGTTTTCATTTTAAAATTTTTGGATTTTGAAATTAATTTTTTTTGGCTTTTTGATTGTTTAACAATTCATAGAAGTTTTTGTTTTTCGTTTTTTCAATTTTTCACTTTCTCGATTTTTAATTAATCAGGGTTTTCAGGTTTCAATATTACAATTTTTCGATTTTTCAATTATCCCATTGTTCAATTTTTCAATTATTTCATTTTTCGATTTTTCAATTTTTAAATTTTTCGATATTTCAAGTTTCATTTTTCAGTTCTTAAGTCTCATTTTTTCGTTTTTTCAAGTTTTCTTTACTTTTTCAATTCTTCGATTTCTCAATTTTTTGATTTTTCAATTCAATTCAAAATTTCGGTTTGAAAAAATTTGTCCTTTCGTTGAACAATTAAAAAATGACAAATCGAGAAAATGAAGAAATAAAAATCGAGAATTGAAAAATTTTATATCGAAAAATTGCAGAATTGCTTTGTTTTGTCGATTTTTAATTAATCAGGGTTTTGAGGTTTCAACATTACAATTTTTCGATATTTCAAGTTTCATTTTAAAATCTTTGGATTTTTAAATTAAAAATTTTTGTATTTTTGATTATTTCATTTATAGAAATTTTTGTTTTTCGTTTCTTTTTTAATTTTTCAATTTCTCGATTTTTAATTAATCAGGGTTTTCAGGTTTCTATATTACAGTTTCTCGATTTTTCAATTGTTTTTTAATTATCCACTTGTTTAATTTCTCATTTTTTCATTTTTAGATTTTTCAACTTTAAAATTTTTTGATATTTCAAGTTTCAGTTTTCAATTTTCGATTCTCGTTTTTCCGGTTTTTTCAATTTTCCTTTATTTTTTCAATTCTTCGAATTGTCAATGTTTAAATTTTTTGATTTTTCAATTATCCCATTGTTCAATTTCTCAATTTTTTCATTTTTCGATTTTTCAATTTTTCAATTTTTCGATATTTCAAGTTCCATTTTTCAGTCTTTAAGTCTAATTTTTTCGGTTTTTTTAAGTTTTCTTTATTTTTTCAATTCTTCTATTTCTCAATTTTTTCATTTTTCAATACAATTCAAAATTTCGGTTTGAATAAATTTGTCCTTTCATTGAACAATTAAAAAATGACAAATCGAGAAAATGAAGAAACAAAAATCGAGAATTTGAAAAATTCTATACCGAAAAATTGCAGATTTGCTTCGATTTGTCGATTTTTAATTAATCAGGGTTTTGAGGTTTCTTTTTTACAATTACTTAATTTTTTAGTTATTCGGTTTTCATTTTAAAATTTTTGGATTTTGAAATTAATTTTTTTTGGCTTTTTGATTGTTTAACAATTCATAGAAGTTTTTGTTTTTCGTTTTTTCAATTTTTCACTTTCTCGATTTTTAATTAATCAGGGTTTTCAGGTTTCAATATTACAATTTTTCGATTTTTCAATTATCCCATTGTTCAATTTTTCAATTATTTCATTTTTCGATTTTTCAATTTTTAAATTTTTCGATATTTCAAGTTTCATTTTTCAGTTTTTGAGTCTCATTTTTTGTTTTTTCAAGTTTTCTTTACTTTTTCAATTCTTCGATTTCTCAATTTTTTGATTTTTCAATTCAATTCAAAATTTCGGTTTGAAAAAATTTGTCCTTTCGTTGAACAATTAAAAAATGACAAATCGAGAAAATGAAGAAATAAAAATCGAGAATTGAAAAATTTTATATCGAAAAATTGCAGAATTGCTTTGTTTTGTCGATTTTTAATTAATCAGGGTTTTGAGGTTTCAATATTACAATTTTTCGATATTTCAAGTTTCATTTTAAAATCTTTGGATTTTTAAATTAAAAATTTTTGTATTTGTGATCATTTAATTTAATGAAATTTTTGTTTTTCCTTTTTTTTTGGGTCCGTTAACTTGGCACCACCAAGTTAATGAATTTTACTCAAAAGCTAGCACCTCGTTGTTCTAACCTAGCACCAGCTAGCACCACCAATCAAAAAGCTAGCACCACCTAATTATTGAAATAAAAGCCTTTTACTTTCGGGGGGGGCCAAGTTAACGCTAGCCCCCCGACATTATTTAATTCTCATGAAAAGTTGGTCCGAGGTAGTTTAGACCTAGCACCAGCTAGCACCACTA